ACGAAACCTAGAAATGTTCACGTCTGCGACAACCTAACACAAACAGGACATTTGTCGGCCTGTCGTGAGATCGTCGCGCGCAGTCTCGGGTGCTGGGCTTACGTCGCGAGGCACGAACAGCTCCGAGAAAACGGTTCTGCGCAACTTCCGCTTCTTGTAAATTGCGTAAGAAAACGTGATGGAACGGCGCAAGCCAATTAAGGGTTAATTTGGTGTTTGAATTTGCTTGAAACCGCGCAAGGGGTTAATTTGTGCCACTTCTCACGAGGGGCCGGGGGTAGGGGTGGTAAAGTATATGAATGCAGGTATGATGACATAGAGAACAAATACCTGTCAATATTAGTCGTTGTAAGTAACCAGAGGTTGAAAACACAGTCAACATCACCTTCACATATTACCTTACCTTTTCAGGTGTCAACGAACTTGATTAAATGAGCGAGTTCATGAGTATTCCTTCCACTTGAAAACACTCTAGCTTTCTCCGCGGGTACATTCAACGTTAATTACGAGCCCACTCTACACAAATGCTGTGTTTAACAAATGAACTCCAGCTTTTTGATATACCCAGAACCATACGACGGCGGTATTGATGGAGCGCTGGTGGCCGTCGTTGACGACACAGAGACAGGCCTTTGGTTGTGTGTAATCTTGTTAATGGCGGGTATATATGGCGTCTGTCGTGTGTGCTCGCTCTTCACGTGCACAAATAACCCACTAATGTTGAATAAGCTGGGCCTGTCAAAATTCATATCTGTGACAAGGGACAATTTGGCGTGAATCTCACCCCTAACCCTACCACCCAGCGACCGAAATTTGGGCGGCTGCGAATAGTGAATGAGAACTTGGAGTATTATTTATTAACGGTGTCTTGACAGTAATATAACTAGCAGTGACAACAACTTGAAATGAGAGGATATATGTTATAATGTACGATTCAATACTACACACGCTATATATGCTAAATATGCCTTCATGATTAAGCTGGCTATAAACATTCATGAAGGTGGAAACCATACAATTAAATCGAGAGGAGAGTTTATATGTTATTGTGTACTATTCAATAACACATGTTATATATTCTAAATATGCCAATATGATTAAGCTGGCTATAAACATTCATGAAGCTGAACACCCTATAATTACATCTAGGGAGAGTTACATATTTTATAATGTACCATTCAATAGTTCATAGGCTATGTATTCTAACAGATGCCTTCATGATTAAGCTGGCTGCAAAAATCATGAAGCTGAAAACCACATAATTATATCGATAGGAGAGTTATATATGTTATAATGTACTATTCAATAGGTGATATATTCGAAACATGCCTTCATGATCAAATTGGCTACAAAAATCATGAATGTGAAAACCATATCATTAAATCGAGAGGAGATTTTATATGTTATAATGGACTGCTTAATGTCATGTAAGTTCCATATTCTAAAAGATGATTCAAGATTAATAATGTATCGAGCTGAATCCACGACATTATTAAATCGAGAGGAGAGTACACATTTGATAATGTACTCTTCAATACCAAATAAGTTATGTATTCGAAATGATGCTTTCATAATGAAACTAAGCATGTAATCTCGTGAAACTGAACACAACATCATGAAGCGAGAGGGGTGTTTAAATACTATGATGTACTCTGCAATTTCAACCTTAGGTTATATAATCTAAGTGATGTCTTCAATCAACTGTTTTTACTAGATTTTGCAAAATACTATATATAAACATTCATAAGCTGAACACCACATCATTGTTATGAATCGATAGGAGAAATTTATATGTTCTAATGCACTATTCAATACGAGATACGTTACATATTTGACAGTTATTCCCCAAGTGACCACACTAGCTACAATACTATATACATGTAGCTATCAACTAGATGGGTACATTAAACATCAAAAGCTGCAAGAGTATATTTATATGTTATAATGTACTCTTCAAGGCCAAACATAAGTTATATATACAATCTTATAGATACCTCCCACAATGTTAAACCAACTATGAAATTCTATGAAACTGAACACCACATCATTAAATTGAGAGGAGAGATTATATGTGATTATGTACTATGCAATACTATATAACTTATACATGCTAAAACAAGCCTTCATAATGAAACTAACTATGAAATTTCATGAATCTGAACACCACAACATTAAACCGAGAGGAGAGTTTATATCATAATGTACTATTCAATACATCATTAGTTATATAGTCTAAAAGATGCATTCATGATGCCGGCAACAACGGACGTCCCTGACAACGACGACTCACACATCCCATAAGTATCCCAGCGTAACGTCATGTACCATCTTCATAGCGTTAAGTACCGTTAATCGAACAGCTAGCGATCATTCAATACACAAAATGGGTATTACGATTATGGTTATGTTAAAAACCGTTTCAAAGATTTTACTTCAAAACTATAATAAACCTTTCCGTGAACGATGATTCATTTTATCTTGATTCATATCAGTATAGTTGAATCAAATACCATCATATATAGCATATTTATATGTATTGTTTTCTTCTAAAACACGTGTTACAATCACTAACAATCTTACAGCTAGGGATAGAACATAGATCCTATTCTACCATGTTCTCAGTCAGTGCAATAGTCGAGTATAAACACGGTCAAAATCATATGCTGACTAGCTGCGATATTTTACCATTTTTTAATCCTTTCTTCTAAAACACAACATGACTACCATCCACAATCTGTACCTAAAAATCTGATTTAAAAATACCTCACATTCGATTATCTTAGGTATTATATTGCATACTTAATACAAGTTTATTTGTACACGTGAGTTCAGTGTTGTTCAGCGACGGGAGACACGACACACTGTGATTATATCAAGATGCTAATATCTTGAGTGATGAGAATCTCATATCGATGTACGAAAGCACTTCAATGTATACACACAATACGACAACGGGAGGGTGTGCGCGGATAATATTCTTACCAGTGCATGTACATAATATGTAGAAAATAAAGTACACGAACTTCTTTATGTTTCAATATTATTCGTTTCTTAAAGGACCTAAACCGATATGGAATATTTCTATATAAAATTTAAAACCCTTGATCAAACTCTGCACATCTACCCAACCTAATCGATAAACGATAATGCTATTGTTTTATAATCTACCCGAGTGCATTGAAATAAGTCAATAAATTTCTCACACAAAATCGTCGACGCAGTGTAAACTGACTGTGGTAGATTTTTAATATGAATGTGTTTAACATAGTTTGCTATAACATACACTGTTTGAGTCTAAACTAAATCCATTCTTCATCGTCATGTGTGTTTAGATCGGTAGTGTTATTTTGGCTTGCATACCAAAAGACGTTGCTGTATTTCAAAGTAATGATATAAAATAGTATAATAGAAAATAGAAATAGTGAGCATTTTATATGTAAGCGCGTTGTTTCTGTCACGTCAAAACTCACGACATTTAACTGATGAAGTATAAGGTTGACATAAGCTACCCTCCTCCATCGGTTAACACTGCTAATGGTGTATACGTGCATGCTGGTTTCGTTTCTCTAGCTAACGTTCCCCATCTACCTTGATGCATACATTGCCCCTTAAAGTAAAAACAATTTTAGTCCTTGACTTATATAAACAAAAATCAATTTTCACAGTTCGAAGTCAATTAGTTTATAAATTTCCATGATTTAATATCGTGATTATGTATATTTCATAAGAAAACTAGAAGATAAAAAGATGGGAACTTATACCTGTGCATATTTTCTGATATGCAGAATAAAATGATTGCAACCTTGCCGCTAATGACACATTGCAGTATAAAACGCATCTCTAATACACATAACTGATGCTATGCAGTATTCTTCCAGCTTTTCGTATAGTACACATGCAAACATCGTTAGGTTCTTAAACACAATGTAAAGTGTATATGTTTGAAGCAAATATGCATTCATAAAGAATCGATAAGAAGTATATCTTTCCGTCTCTGTACATACGTATTGTACAATTCATGAAAACGTTATACTGAAGAAAATCGTAGGTTATCAGAAAATACGATCAGTCCTTATTCCACCATGTTGCTGTTGAACGATAACCCACAACATAACCAGTCCGGGTACGAGATTTGTTTGTTTACTATTAAAAAAATGCGAATATTCACTGTAATAGTTTATAAATATTTGTGAAGTATATTTTACACAACTGACGGAATTGATTTAAAAAAATAGTTGCTGTTCATATTTGCGACTTTTTAGTTTTAGGACATGTTCTGTTTATGATCAAACAAGTTCATTAAAATAATTATGTCCAACTTCAATGAATAATTAATTCCTCACTTTCTCAATTTCTGTACATGAAGGACAATTGTAGACTGCCTCTTTTCAAAAGAAGACAGTACTTTTTATGTTTCATAAGCTTTAATGCTTCATAATTCTGTTTCGAAATCCATAGTAAGAACATGGCAAAAATACAAAAAATGCTTCAATCATGATTTCAAGAAATTTCAGCGAGTTAGAAAGGATTCACATCGTTTAAAATGTACGTATTCATGTGCTTTGCGTGTGTATTTACCGAAATGTAATGAACATTGAATTTAAATATGTTTTGACTTAGAAAACAGTTTGTTGTTCAATAAATGTATGATTTCATATTGCGTATAGTACCAATTTTGAAAACAAACACGAAGTCATTTTAAATATAGTTTATATTTTGAATAAATTGTGTGGGTTTTAATTTTTTATTATTTTGATAATGTAGTAATTGTGGAAAATATACTAAAATAGTACCGAATGAAAATAGTCATCATTAATCTTGACTGCGACGCAAGACAATATACTACTCGTTACTCGACAGTGTTTAGAGAGTACTGTATTTCTAGAAATATACATCAACAATCTCAATTCACATCATATCTATCTGGTATACACAGTCTATAATACGTCAGAGTATAATATCATTATGATAACAATCTTGTATTAATAACAATCACATACCTGTGTCCATTGTTGGAGATTGCCTTTGATCTGACTGTTTCGCTGTTTCCCCTCCACCAAGCAAACTGTCAATATCATACGCCGATTTCTTCTTAAGCGACAGATCCATGGCAGAATATCTGCTGTTTTCACATAAAACTCCCTTGAGAATTGTAAGCCAGAAGTCCCTGCTAACGCAAGGTCCTTTCGCAATGTGCCTCGTACCGTGTGTCTGTAGGTCGAATCTCACCGTCTCTCCATACACAATCGTACAGCGCTGGCTACATTCAGCTGAGATTTCCTACTGCCGAGTCACAACACACTAACACTCAAACTTAGTACAATACGCCTGCTAAAAGATTCTATTTATTCGAAACTTCTGTCACCGACCCGTCAAAGTATCAGACTGCGGGTTCAGCGGCAGCGCCGACCAATCAAATACCGATACACCGCCACTGGTTGTAAGCCACGCCCCCTCAATTACAAGAGTCGATCAGGGATTGCTTGTGGTGTGGACAGCTAAACGGTATCTTGTCGGGCGTATTCCGTCCGAGCTGTGATTTTCGTTTTAATTTGCCGTTATGGATTTCAACCGAAAATGCGGACAAATTTAAAATAATGAGTTTATTTGAAACGTCGTAGGGTATTTCATTTTATGAGGTTAAATTTCTAAAGAACGAGGTTTAATCTGAAAACAAAGAAGAAATAAATGTTGGTTAAGATTTCGTTCTTCATTATAATTCTGAACCATGCACATGCTATACGAAAGTGTTATCATCAAATAGTTTCTCTTACAGAAAAATCGAGAGGATTATATCTTTATTATCAACATTAAAAATCAGTTTCTATCAATCGATCTTCGCAAGACCGTAAACCGAGATCATCGTAGATCTAAACCTGCATAATACATGATAAAATGATATTCAATAGCTTTCACGTAAACGTAGGGTATTTTTGTGATAATCCATGGATTATTGACAACAATACATACGAAAGCAGGTTTATTGCATTCTCATATATTTACACTGTCATAAGCAAGAAAACGAAAATATACGACTGATTGCTTATAAACTAAATTTTCCTTTCTTTCTTTGAGAGGCATTTTAGAAGTTGTATAGATGAAGGAAAACCAAGTTCTATTCATAGAACTTGGTTTAAATTTTCCTTGCGTAATCCAGTCTTGAATATTATTGTTTTAATGTCACACATGCGCATCTTTACAATTTATGTTTTAATGACGATAATTTACAGTTTCTCCTTCGTCAGTCAATTCATCTCCGAACGAAACATCACCAATATTTAATCCATACATCAAGATACAATTGTAACAACGTAGCAAATGTAATATTTTAAAACAGGTGTGGTATTGCCTGCTAATCTTAATTTCCTAGACTTTATGAATACACACGTGCATAATATTAAGAATAGTTTCTAATAAATACAACTGCTCACACTTTTATGATAAATCGTTTCAATGAATAATGCACATGATCTGGTTGTCATCTTCATGCATAAAATGCATAAGATGTATGCAAGCAAAATGAATACAACTCTCTCCGTGTTAACTATTATATCTTGATAATTTGAAAACATTTTGAACATATTTTAGAAATTTACTCGCGAGTGGGTTTTTTGGCATCTATTATAATAAAGGAGAAGCCTTTATTTTTTTGGTAATTTAACGTCGCTCTCTGAAGTTAATTCAGCAACAGGACGGCAGTCTGTAAACAACCAAGTCTGGACCAGACAATGCAGTGACTGACATGAACATCAGTCAACGCTGATGGGATGCGATGACGCACATCAACCAAGTCAGCGAGCCTGGCCACCCGATCCTGTTAGTTGCCTCTTAAGATAAGGATGGTTGATGAAGACAGGTACTGAATCGGATTTTCAGGTGTCTGATATTTGAGTGTTTGAGAAATAAAATGGTTTGTTTGAGTTCTTTGCCATATTTATACGTTTAATATTACTTTTCGTATAAAACAGTTAAAATCAGACCTTATGTTTAATATTTTTCATTGAAACATACGAATTTATTTAAGATAACAGACACGACCAGTGAAGTATTAACAGAACTGTTTATCTATTTTGCCACACACACCGCTTCATTTATTGCTTTAGCATAGTGGAAATGGTTAGAGGAAGGGGAAATGAAGCAGGGACTGTGAGACAGACAAGTTATCAGTGTGCGGTGCATGGCGAGTCTGTTTTCCCAGATGAGATTCTAGTAAATGCCCTTCACACAGCCAGCAGTCAGTGGGTACCCGGTGGGGACTGTTAGCAGTCTGGGTTTGTTTCTTGTTGTTTAACGCCACACTCAGCAATATTCCAGCTATATAGCGACGGTCTCTAAATAATCGATTTTTGACCAGACAATCCAGTGATCAACAGCATGAGCATCTATCTATGCAAATGGGATACGATGACATGTGTCAACCAAGTCAGCGAGCCTGACCACCCGATCCCGTTAGTCGCCCTTTACAACAAGCATGGGTTACTGGAGCTCAATTCTAACCCGGATCTTCACGGGCTACTATCTTTGTGAAACTAAGCTATGGTGCTCTCAAACCTATAACCACATCAAGGGACTTGAACCAAAGCTCATCCTAGCACGTCTAAGGGACGCAACTCTGAACTGTCACCCTGCCGCACCTCGTAGGTGTGGGGCGATGGGGTAGCCCAGAGGTTAAAACGTCCGCTCGTCACGCTGAAGATCCGGGTTCGATTCCCCAAATGGGTATAATGTGTGAATCCCATTTCTGGTGTCCCCCGCCGTGATATTATTGGAATATTGCCAAAGCGGCGTAAAACTAAACTCACTCCCCCGTAGGTGTATTGAATGGTTTGTTATCCAGGTTTTCTTTTTTTCACCTCCAAATATAACACTTACCGGGCTAATTGTTGATCGGCATTCAAGAAGTTAGTAAGTCAATAATGAAGCATACTACTTGGATAACAACTTATTGTTATTGCACTGAGCGATGTTTCGGTGTACACCGGTATCAAGCTAAAGGTAATATCGGGTTGTTTCACAGCATTACACAACACCCGCCAAAGCAATACTCATCGACCTGGTCTTCACTACCCTACAATCTTCCCTTGTTTGACCCAGGACGTGCTCCGTGGGAACATTGCCACCTTAACCGTCATATCATCCCCTGTCGTCCGGCTTCTGCTAATAGACAACTATATGTCAAGGGAGACAATTAATTAATAACGCTCTTCGGTGAAACACGGTCAATAACAATCTCGGATCAGAAAAAACTAATGCGAAAAACAATAAAACAATTAGTGAAAATAAAGGAAAAACAAGGCGGATGATATAGCGATAAAACTATCTTTGATATTAGACCATTAATGGGCGATCTTCTCCTTCAGCAACCGACGCTGCGAGCTTTAATTGAGCAATTGATAATGTATTGAACATCTCTTGTTATCTCGTCCAAGTCTCGTTCAAGTGGGGGCTTCAACGACCCAAACAAATAGCAGGGAATTATTGCCGAGTAAATAATTAATTGCAATAGGATTGAGTTTTAATAGGCACAGTTTGTTCCTTCGGCAAACTGCGCGCGCATCAATACCGTCGAGATCTCGAGGGGCGAGAACGTCACAGCGCGTGCGTGTGTGCACCAGGACCAGCCCACGGATTCACACGCTCGCTGCTCGTTTAGCCGGAGTTTGTTCGGTCGATCGCTGGCTAATTACAACAATCAACTCTCTCATTTACTCGCTCATATCTGGGTTCCATGTTCTCATTTCAAAATTGCCGTGTTCGGACGTTGGAAGATTAAGGAGGGGCCCCTGTAACGCTGGGAGGATGGGGGTTATTGATAAGGCGCAGGCTCTTCACGTGAACTTTCCCCATTAATTCCGGGAGCGTGCAGCGCTCCGAGCAAATCAAAGTCGTCAATTTAGAGAATACGAATAATCTCGAAAACTTGGAGGAGATACCCCGTCAAGAATGTCTTTCGAAAAGAACATGAAATGTATTAATTGTTTTATCAAAGCCCATTAAGGTAAGAGGGACACAGTGTGACCCAATGGCGGTGAATGGGACGTTATTGACAGACGTTCTACTTGCTCGAATTGGTCGCCATTCAAGAGGACGGACACATATTTCTCGTTAATGGGGCAAATCATTTTTTGGTGAGAAATCCAAATTGGGCCGTAATTTAATATTTTTTAGATATTACAGCAATAAAAAATATGTTTGTACAGTAATTTTTTTTATCGACGTCTCCGGCGCCATTGATGTACATGTTGTTTACGGGGACGAGGGGACGAGGGGGCGAGGGGGCGAGGGGGCGAGTTGCGATTTCTAAGCTGGATCGGCAACATGCCGGCAGTGATGGATGCGGTGAAATATAAGAGCGTAGATTGCGTTCTGACAAGTGGATGCTTCTTTTGGCATGATAATATATCATTCATCGAAATGCACAAAGAAATGTGTCCATATCAATTCATTTAGTATTTAGTATTTTTAGATAATTTCAAAACTAAAAAGTATTTGGGTTATTGTGCTGTGTCATGTTGGACATTTTGCTGAAGCTTAATTTGTCTTCGGTTTTTAGAAAATAAGATACTAACATTACAAACAAGTTGCCGTGATTAGGTTTCATCAAGTTACGGGGTTTCATATATTCCGCAGCCTCGTTTGGTTCGTTACTTGCTGTTGCTGCTACTACTACCCTATCTAATTATCCTCCAACTACTTCTACTACTACTACTACTGCTGCTGCTGCTGCTACTACTACCACTACTACTACTACTACTACTACTGCCACCACCACTACTGCACTGCTACTACTACTACTACTACTACTACTACTACTACTGCCACCACCACTACTACTGCTACTACTACTACTGCCACCACCACTACTACTGCTACCACGACCACCACCACTGTTACTACTACTACTACTGCCACCACCACCAGAACTGCTACTGCTACTACTACTACTACTACTACTACTGCTACTGCTACTACTGCTACTACTACTACCACCTGGCTGCTACTACTGCTACTACTACTACTGCTACTACCACCACCACCACTGCTACTACTACTACTACTACTGCCACCACTGCTACTGCCACCACCTACTGCTGCTGCTACTACTACTA